AGCCGCGGGAGCAGCGCGGCTCACGGCGGCACCGGGTTTGTTCACTGCAGATAAGGCCACGAGCCAGCTCCTGCTGGAGACAGACTGGGAGTCCATCCTGCAGATCTGCGACATGATCCGCCAGGGAGACACGCAGTAAGTGCTGCGGGCACGGCTCTGCCGGCTGCGGGGGAAGCACAGACACCCTGCCAGGGTCTCGGACCTGTAACACACATCTCTCATACCCTTCCGTGAGAGCATCGCAGGGGCTGTATGGCACACCCTGATGTGCTTCCCAGAGCCTGGCAGCTGCACATTTCCCCTGGCCTGAAATGCTCAGGGAAACTCAAGCTGGAGTGTGCTTATTCCTTGCCGGTTTCACTCAGTGCATCACACACCCCTGAGCTCGCTGTGCCCTTTGTCTCACGGTGGGGATTGGTGGCTGTCAGCAGCAGGTGGGATCTCCCTGAGAACGTGTCCCCTCTTCCCCTGCCCAGGGCGAAATACGCCGTCAACGCCATCAAGAAGAAGGTGAATGACAAGAATCCCCACGTGGCCCTGTACGCGCTGGAGGTAACTGCACCTGGCTGGGAGCAGGCAGGGGCTTCCCACCACTGCCTTCAGGCTGCACAGCTCCCTGCAGTCCAGCGTGGAGCCAGCCTCTTCCCGGCTCTGGCACTGAGGTTTTGGGGTGATCAGGCCAGGGCCTTCATGCTTTAGCTCCATCTTGGCTTTGGAACAGGCAGAGCTGAGGCTTGGGCTGCTCCCACTGGGGTTGGTTCCACAGAGCAGAAGGCCCCCAGCCCCCAGGGAGGAGAAGGGCAGCTGGCTCTCAGTACAGGGAGTGGATTGTCATGGCCCCAGTACAGCTCACAGTTTAAATACTGCCCCCTCTTCAGCCTGCAGTGTGTGCTGGGACCCCCACAGCTTGCAGGGGAGGCAGGAAGCTGTGGGCTGATGTTGTCTTGGCCCTTGCAGGTCATGGAGTCGGTGGTTAAAAACTGTGGCCAAACAGTCCATGACGAGGTGGCCAATAAACAGACCATGGAGGAGCTGAAGGAAATACTCAAGGTAAATAGATTTATTTTACTGTCAGTTTCTTTCCTATGGAAAAGCAGCAGCAACAGGAAGAAATGTATGTGTCCTGTCTTGTGTCTTCTTTGGGTAAGGAGCAGAAGGGAAACTGGAAATGCACTTCAGAAAAGAGCAGATTATCGTGTGCTGTGGAAGGATGAGTGTAGGCAGTGAGGAGGGCTTCTGGGAGGAGGAGATGTGGTGGGAGCAGAGGTTTGCCTGCACTGTGAAATGGCAGGAATGTGCTGTGGGGGCCTGGGCCATTCCGTGGTAAATGCTCCTGGATGCAACACTTGGGTTGGAACAGCAAAGGAAAACAGATGATGGCCGGGCACCTGTACCAAGGACCTGGGCAGTGACAAGGTGACTTCCCTCTCGTGGAACAGTGTGAGACACATAGGCAGGTAAAGCAACAAAGGAAAAACCAGCTGGAGCTGCCTCCGTATCACGGCCATGTCATTGGAGTTGTTCAGGATGTGACCATGGCTGCTGGCACTGATGAGTTGTTGTTACAAGCTGTCACCAGTCTGGTGCCTGCTGGAGCTTCATGTGTCCTTGGACTGGGGAATTCCTTTAGTGAAGTGGAAATGAGAACTCCTGTCTCCAGCTCCCAGCTCAGAACAGCAGTGCCCAGGCAAGAGCTCATTAGCATTGTACTTCTGTCTTCCACCAGAAATAAACAAACAGGTGACCCAGATCCTTGGAGGCCGAGCTTTGTGAGCCATGTGTCACCTTCCTGTTAGGGCTGACTCAGTCTCCCTGCAGGATCTCCTCCTGAGGCAGGAGCACTGCCATAGCATGACAGCCAGGTGTGGTGGCACAGCCACTCCAAGGGCTGAGGAGATCGAATCACATCCAGGGATTTCGTGGTTCTCTCAGTCCTTGCCTGCCTCAGGAGTTTCACAACTGCCCCATTCTCCTTCCACACTTGGAGCTTTGCTTCTTATGAACACTTTATGCTGGTAAAACAGTCCAAGTTCTGAAGAGGTTCAGGGCTGTGACATGTATGGAATGCAGGATTTTGCCAAATGTTGTAGAAGTTGGAGCTCCAGGAATTGTCAGTAAGTGATGCTGTGTGGGCCGAGGTCTTGGCTAACATCAGAGCTCAACAGTGCTGCTGTGCTTCCTGGGGATTTCTGGAAGAGCCAGTCATGTGGATGTGATCACTTGGGCAGCTGATGACACGGCAGCCCTGAGGCTGGCTGAGGTCAGAACAGGCTTGCCAACTTTCCTGCAGTTCCCCGAAGTGTGGTGCAGTTGCCCTGCCTCCAAAGGGCAGCCGTGCCAGCTGTCCTCACTTTGTCACATCCTGAGATGGCTCCGAGTTCTCGTGGAGTGGCAGTGCTGGCAGCCTGCAGGCACCCCCAGCGCTGTCAGGGGCAGGCAGGGTGGGCTCTGCTGTCCTGGGCAGCTGGGGCTCCTGCAGAGTTCTGGGTGTGGGATGGGGGGCTCTGGTGAGGGGGTGCTGGCACTTGCTCTGAGCATCAAGGCCACAGCTCTGTTCAGTCTGTGCTGCACAAGGACATTGTGTTCTTTGTGCTGGAGGGGACAGTGGGGCAGCTGAAGGGGCTGTTTGTGCTGTGCATTGTCCTTGCTGCAGGTTTCTGACAGCTCTTACCTCTCCTGAGGACTCTAAAGTCTCTCTTTCCTGAGTGGTATTTCTGGCTTCTCCTTAGGGGGTTCACACCATGCTTTGGGTTTCAGGGGCATTTTCTGAGAGGTTTTTTCTCCTCCCTTCCTGTGCAGAGGCAAGTGGAGACAAGTGTCCGCAGTAAGATCCTGTACCTCATCCAGGCCTGGGCTCACGCCTTCCGCAACGAGCCCAAGTACAAGGTGGTGCAGGACACCTACCAGATCATGAAGGTGGAAGGTGAGGACTGTGGCTACAGGTGAGGGGGCACCTGGTCAAACAGCTCTGCCCTGCAGGAGCCTTGGCACTTCAGTGCCTGGTGTGAGCAAAATCTGGACTTGCAGCACTGAGCTCTTCCTTGGTTCCCAATACCCAACAAACCCTTCAGGGTGACCAAACCCTGCTGCAGACATGGCACAGTGCAATGGACCAGGGCAGCCTTGCTCTAGGCCTCCATGCAATGGACCAGGGCAGCCTTGCTCTAGGCCTCCAGCCCAGCCTTCAGGGCTGCCAGGGAGACCTGAAAAGCAGGAGCTGCAACTGTTCTTGGGGAGACTGGCCGCAAGTCATCGTGTCCTCTGGGAGGGATTTGCTGTGGGGCAGTTCCTTCCTCACAGGCTTTTGTTCCTGCTCCCATCATAGGTCCACGGTCCCACTTGCTGACACAGTGTTGGTGTGACATTTTCCCTTCTGTCCAGGACAGCAGTGTTCACTTTTGGGGCAGGGACATGCTGCTGCCTCTGCTTCCTTCTGTGCTCCAGAAACTCTGCAGGCAGTGGCACAAGCTGGGAGGGTCAGTCCAGCATCCTGAGCTGGTGTTGCCAAGCTCTGGCCCTTGAAGGGCTGAAACTCACAGCCCTGCCTGCCCATCCAGTGTGCTTTTTATCCCCCTCAGTTCAAAGTACTGAGAAATAAGAGGCCCCTTATCCAGAGGCCTGTGATGTCCCTTGTGGGTGTGTAAGGGAAACAGTTGGGGACTGTCCTCAGAGCATGGCTGAGGGGAGCCTGCTCCTGGTGTGTCACAGGGGGGTGCTGGTCAAGACAAGAGGTGGTGCTGAGCTGGCACCTGTAGCACAAGCTTGCAGGCACGTGGCCTCCCTATGCCAGAGGATTCCTCTCACAACGAGCTCCCTTTTCTCTCCATTCTCCTCCTGCAGGACACGTCTTCCCAGAGTTCAAGGAGAGCGACGCCATGTTCGCTGCAGAGAGGGTGAGCTCTGGTGGGGGAGCAGCCGTGGGACAGACATCCCATCCCTTCCCCATCCCCTTCTGCAAACCTGCAGGTCTCACATTCCTCCGTTTTGTGCTGATTGGAGACCTTGCTGGGAGAACCGGCCAGGACAGGGGGTCAGAGCCATCATTCCTCCTGCTCACTGGCCTTGCAGCAGCTTGGCAGGCAGCAGGGCATTGCTGAAGCGATTGCTGTGCAGACAGTTTCCTAGTAAATCTTGTACTGGCTGGGAAAACATCACAGTCTCTGAGGAACACAAGAGGAGATAACTGGGGATTAATATTTCCTGTTGAGCTGCAGATGCCCCCAGTCTCCCCACGAGACAGGAGAGAGCCCTGTTGCCATCAGAGCTCCTGAAAGGGCCGGTGCCAATGCACTCCTCCCTCCTGACTCCATTTCCCTTGGCCCCTGCAGGCTCCAGACTGGGTGGATGCAGAGGAGTGCCACAGGTGCCGGGTGCAGTTTGGCGTCGTGACGCGCAAGGTGGGTGCAGCTCCTGGGCTCCCTGCTCTGCACAGCCCTCGGCGCTTGCAGGACTCCCTGCAGGACTTGCTGTGTGAAGTGTGCTGGGTCAGGCCACGGTTCCTGGCGGCTGGCAGGGAAAGGAGTGTCTGAGTGATGTTGGCTAAGGGAGAAGGAATGTCTTGCCGCTACACTCACATCTCCTGCCCTTCACAGCACCACTGCCGGGCCTGCGGGCAGATCTTCTGTGGAAAATGCTCCTCCAAGTATTCCACCATCCCCAAGTTTGGGATTGAGAAGGAAGTGAGAGTCTGTGAGCCCTGCTACGAGCATCTCAACAAGTCAGTACCCTTCGTGGTGGGTTTCTTTGCCTGAGACAGCTGGGACATTGAGGGGGGAAGCATGGTGTGGAACTAGCTCCCTGCGGAGCACAAGGGGGGCTTCCCTGGCTGTGCAGGCTGGGCTGGGCCCTCTTCCTTCCTGGGAGTGGGCTTTGCTGCTGGAACATGCTGCAGAGCTGGCCTCTGGTGCAGAGAAGGGAGGTTTCAGTCCATACTATCACTTGTCACTACAGGAAAACTGAGGGTAAAGCTGCTGCCACCTCTGAACTGCCCCCTGAGTACCTGACCAGCCCCCTCTCTCAGCAGTCCCAGGTGAGCAGCTGCCCCATAGGTGATCTGGTGATCCTGACCTGTTTGTTGATCCCATTACTGACCACCTCCTTACCTTTCCACTTGCAGCTGCCTCCAAAGCGTGATGAGACAGCGCTGCAAGAGGAAGAGGAGCTCCAGCTGGCTATTGCCTTGTCTCAGTCAGAGGCTGAGGAGAAGGAGAGAATGGTTTGTTGGCTCCTGGGGTCCGGGAGGGGTTGGTGCTCTTCAGCCCAGCTGTGCTGGGCCATAACGGATCTCTGGACATGTCCTGGTGCGAGCAAGGATCAAAGCCTGTGGAGTGGGAGGGTGAAAGCAGGGCCTGGCACAGGCTGTGCTGTGGTTGGTTTGGAGCAGCCTGGGCTCTCTCTGAGTTGGCAATTTTCTCTTTTGCAGAGGCAGAAAACAACCTACTCCATGTACCCCAAGGCTGAGCCCACTCCTGTCACGTCCTCGGCTCCCCCAGTCAGCACACTCTACTCCCCACCCGTGGTACGTCCCTGGCAGCTCCTGCACGTCCAGTGGCTGCACACAGGCCCCCTCCTGAGCTCCTGCACGTGAAGTCCTGGACACAAGCCCCTTCCTGAGCCCAAGCCTGCCCCAATTGTGTCCAGTTTAATCCCCATACTGAGGGAAAATATTTGTCCTGTTCAACCCCTTACTTGTTCACTCTGTTTTGAGCAAGAAGGTGTGTTCTAAGCCAGGACTGAGGTGCCTCCACTGCCTCCCAGCTTGTGTCCCCTTTGAGGCTCAGCACTGGTGGTCATACATGGCCAGCTCTGAGCTGAGCACCTGTGTGGGACCTGGGGATCTCTGGTTTTGCTGAACTGCCTTTCTCCATTTGTCTCTTTCCAGAATTCCTCTGCTCCCTTGGCCGAGGATATTGACCCAGAGGTAAGGGTCCTGGCCCTGCTAGTCTGCAGCACAGGCTTGTTCCTGCGAGGCACTGAGGCTCATCTTCCTTCTCTCCCTGGCAGCTGGCTCGGTACCTGAACCGCAACTACTGGGAGAAGAAGCAGGAGGAGGTTCGCAAGAGCCCCACACCGTCAGCACCCCTGTCCCTGACAGAGCCTGCTGTGCAGCCTGGGGACGCCCACCCTGCCCCTCTTGGGGTGGTTGAGGTAAGGGGGGGCCTGGGCCTGCGTCTGGCACCCACTGAGGGGCAAGAAGCACCCAACTCTTGGGCTCTGCTGGCTCTTGGCACTGGGAGGTCACAGCTGACCGGCTGCCCCATCCTTCCTTCCTTCCTTCCAGCAGCAGTACCAGAACGGTGAGTCCGAGGAGAACCACGAGCAGTTCCTGAAGGCACTGCAGAACGCGGTCACCACGTTCGTCAACCGCATGAAGAGCAACCACATGCGAGGCCGCAGCATCACCAACGACTCTGCCGTGTTGTCCCTCTTCCAGTCCATCAACAACATGCACCCGCAGCTGCTGGAGCTGCTCAACCAGCTGGACGAGCGCAGGCGTGCGTGGGAGCTGGGGGGGCT